CCAGACCACGAATGGGAGCTTCACCATGAACCCCTCCATTTCCTAGTTCGCAAATGGGGCACTCCGCTCATAGACCTATTTGCAACATACAGCAACAAGAAGTGTCCCCAGAATTGCTCCAGGGCAGGTCTTGGTCCTCACTCTCTGGGCGACGCGTTCCTCATCAGTTGGACAGGCCCACTGATGAATGCCTTCCCTACCATGCCCCTAATCCCGAGGGTATTGCAAAAGATCAGGACCGATCGAGCCATAGTCATATTGATAGCTCCTTCCTGGGCCAGACAGCATTGGTTTCCCCTGCTGTTGCAACTATTCCGTTGGCCACATTATCACCTGCCACTGTCTCTAACGCTACTCACCCAGAACCACGGCCGCCTATTCCACCCAAAACTTCACACGGTGCATCTTGCAGCATGGTACCTAGCTGGCTAAGCACTACTGAGGCCCTATGTTCTGATGTCGTCAAAAACGTCCTTATACAGAGCAGACAACATAACACAAGAACCACGTACCTCGCAAAGTGGTCAAGATTTACTATCTCATGTTCAGACCACCAGATTGATCCAATATTGATTCCTATCCATACCATCCTTGACTACATAATGGGCCTTCACCAAGCAGGTCTCGCTATACCATCCCTGAAAGTACATCTCGCGGCGATAGCAGCTTTCTGACAGCCTGTAGACGGCTCTTCTGTGTTTGCCACCCCCTCACTAAAAGATTCATCAAGGGGTTAACAAATTTGCACCCACCTGTATGCACACCATCGCCTTTGTGGGATTTAGATTTAGTACCACGGACCCTAACGGCCCCACTATTTGAACCATTGGCTACAATACCTCTGCAACTTCTGACCCAAAAATTGGTGTTCCTGCTTGTGATAACCTCAGTCGAAGAGTCAGCGAGCTTTTGGCGATGGCCATGCCTCCATACACCATCTTCCAGAGGGATTGTGTCATCCTCAGACACCACCCAGCCTTCATACCTAAAGTCTTTTCGGAATACCATATCAACGTGCCTATAGTATTACCCGTCTTTTCACCTAAACCACATGCTTCACCTAAGGAGGCAGCTTTCCACACATTAGATGTGCGTAGGGCGCTGGCCTTTTATATTGACCGTACTAAGTCCTTTAGAAAAACAGACAGCCTTCTCCTCTTGTTAGCTGAATGTTCCAAGGGAGAGCCCATTTCTGCCCAAAGAGTAGCTAAGTTAATTGTCTCCTGCATCTCTCAATGCTACTCTATTCGGGGAATACCCCTTCCCTAGTGTCCCAGGGCACACTCCACAAAGGCAATTTCAGCTTCCACCGCCTTTCTTAGAGGCGTTCCCCTTCCGGAAATTTGTAGGTCAGCCACGTGGGCATCCTACCGCACCTTTATAGAGCATTGTGCTGTACAGCACAGATGGCTGCCAGATAAATTTGTTACAGCTGCAGTCCTTTCATCAGCTAATCGTTAAGCTCTGAATCCCACCTACCTTCTTATTCATGGGGAGTGGGACGCTGCTGTGCATACACCTACAATGGAGCACCTACAGGGACTCCTTGAAGAAGAAAGTGAAGTAACTCACCTTGGTGCAATAAATGTCGTTCTTCGAGAAGGTCCCCGTGGGTGCTCCACTACCCGCTCTCCTTCCCGCTTCGGCGTCTGTGTTTGTTTTATTGTGTTACAGATACTGAGGCGGGTATGAGGAACTGGCTCATACCGGAGCGAGCAGCATGAAAGCTGCGAGACACTCCCCGCGCGTGCGAGGTCTGG